AGTAAATAGCCTCATGTAATTGACTACTAAATCAGCAGTTAAATGTGACTTGGAATAGCTCAAATATTTACATCCCAAGGAAAAATTTGTATCTTCATCAACTGTTACTCTCTCATATTTTCATATTTTCACAATCAGAAAAGGTAGATATAGCGATTGCAAGGATTGAATGAGCGAGTCTTCTTCCAATGGCTCCCCCAAATAGCAGTGATATGCTTGAAAGATTGAACTAGTGAACATTAAATCGAATACCTTCTTTGGGCATCCATCCATATGCTGCAGTCTCCCAAACACAAAATCCATTTTAAGTCAAAAGCAGCTGATCAAGGTTTGTGCTACCAGTTTGACTAGTTAAGGCTTGGTGTTATCTATTCCTCGAGGAAAAGCTTGTATTGCTTTGTCTTTCTGATTCTGTTTAATTCTGGAACATTTTTTGTTTATTATAATAAGTTTGGTAGTCACATATGGAGAAGATGCTTGTTTCATTAAAGAAGGGTACAAGCATTTCTTGAATCTTCTTAAACTTTTTATATGCAAAACTTTTATTTCTTCCAGAAACAATGAAATCTTGTGGTTACAATTAATAGCAGAAATCATATTGCTGAAAGTGTCTCATAAGAATAAGGTGATGATTGTTGAAATGTCAAAAAATATATGAAGGGAAATATATGTTGTACAAAATTTATGACGGCAATTATTCTATTTTCAGACTTAGCAAGAATTGATGCACATGTATATATATATATATATATATATAGCTACAGTTCCCCTATTTATAATATAAATCTTAATATGGCATGATAAAGAACCAAAGAAGATCTATCTAGGGAATACGTCATTCCTTTCAAAGACAAGCTATGGATGGATTTATAGTGACTTCTCCAGAGAGAGTCTTTATGCAACTTACAACTAACACCACCCACCAAATTTAAGAGAACTGGTAACCACCTTCTTCGGTTGTTGTTTGTGTATGTATACATATATCTATATGTAACTTGGAAGAGCATATTTTGAACAGACATTAAGCAGCTAAATATCATGTTTCATTAATCATCTGCCCCAATTTGATTAAACCTCTTCTGGATGGGGCAACTGATGAGCTCACTGTGGGATGCTACTACTTTCTTCTCTTCTCCATTTCTGTTGGTGAAGTGTAGCTTTGGCTTGCAGCTTTCATGTGAAAGATGGCATATTGAGGTGGATAAAAAGATGGAGGCTAAAGAATGGCACTTGTTGACATGGTCTCTAGCATCCATCTCCCTTGTGCCCATAAAGAACTTAAGCAGAGGATTATGTTCTCCAAAGCAGCCGTTCTTTTCTCTTCTATTTTTCAACCGTAAAGGCCAAAAAAAAAAAAAATTATTGGGATACCTCGTATAATAACTTGATGATCTCATAAAGATCTATGATGCTTACACTTATCGTACTTTATATTTACCATGACTTCCTTGCGGATATTCTATCCAGTAAAATTAAGCATGAAGTTCTTATATAATAAACTCTACTCTCTTTTGCAATCCAATTATTTGGTCTGTGCACTTTAGATATGTCATTCATGAATACGTTTATATTTAGATCTAGGTTTTTGTCCCTCATGCATTAATTATTATATAATTAGATAGAATAACATTATCACCTCACAAAAGTAGGTGAATTAATGAAGTAGGCTAATCACCTCACAAATTTGATAGTGAATTATTAGATAGAATAAGGTAGAATAAGATTATCACCTCATAAAAGTACGTTATTCAATGAAGTTATATATGATTAGGAAAGATAATATTTGATAGTGAGGTTGTTGATTCTCAAATAGTTGTTAAAGTATTAATTAATTTTAATCACATATTTATAGGGACCAAACAAAAATTAATCAATATTTTCTTTTGGCACATATCCGTTTATATGCATACATCGGATATCTAATGTATCAAAAATATGTTTATATGCATACATCGGATATCTAATTTTATTTAATTGGCTCCTACGACAGAATATATTACTAGGCATTTATATCCACTAAATCTGAAAAAAAAATCTGCACAGATTCCTCTATTTTCCAAATGCTCATTTCTTCGAAGAAGAGATACATGAGGTATGGTGGCTCTTAATGAGACCATTGAAGCTTCGACAATTCCCCTGGCTCATAAATGAGATGGATCTCACTGCTTGACTTTTGTATGAGTTGAGTGGTAATGTTATGTTAAACATCAAATGGGGTTTTGTGTAAGAATATTGACAACGATGAGAATATCTAAACGATACAGAATTCTTGGCTTTCAAATTTTAAGTAGAGCTTATGTTAGATTACAAGAGATTCTTGAGATAATGTTTACCATTTTCTTCACTTTTAAACCTGGAATCATAATTAGTGTTGGAAGGATCAAGTGTAACTTTCTTCTCCTCATACTATTTCTTAGATTTGATATCTCAGAGAGAATTTGTTGGGGTTGTTCACCTATTACAAGTTAGATGTATTCAATTAGATTGTTCTCTGATTTTAGCTTTCGTATGTGTGGCATTTTTTTGAAGACTTTCCAGCAACCTTTTTATTGAATGTAGATTCGTCGCCCCAAAAAGGAGTTTGTTGATGTAAATTTCATTTCTCTTAACTTAGATCTTGAAAATGACAACACAACAAGGATAGAACTTTTCTTTTAAGAGGATTTTCAGTCTTAATCCTTTGAGTGGCTGATTTTTCAGCATCCACAAAAAGGAAGAGTTCAAATTTAGCTTCAGATGCTATTTAATTTTTAACACATATAAACTAAAAGTGTTTAAAATGATAATGATAGTTTACAAAGTTCAAAAAACTAAATGCTGGGTTTTAACAATGCTGTGCTGCTGAACTACTTTGGTTTGATGTAGGGAATGAGTCTCAGAAAAATCACATAAAAAATAAATTATTTTGTGGGATCTAAATTGTATTATCCTCTTGATCTTTATTTTCACAACTATAATGACACCATTTAATTTGTCTTAAATACTTGAGATCTATCACTATCATATAAAAAAAAAGAAAATATCCAATGTATATAGTGTATAAGGAGTTAGACACTTTATATGGGTTATATAAGGAGGATCAGTGTATATAGTGTGATTTTTATATTCTTTAATTTTGGCGTAAGGTAAATAGGCATATTAAAAAATATATATATTTTGCAAGAGCTTAATTGCATTCTGCTCTTTGCCTTAATAAACATTTAAAAATTAAAATGCAGAACCATAGTACCCCATTTAATGTGGCCTTAAACACTTGAAATTAGGTGGAAATCACTAAAAAAAAAAAATCCCTTTTTACCTCTATGAAGTCCGGAGAGGGACAATATATATAATATAGCCTTATCTCTGCATACTTTGGTCTTTTCGTAGGTTGTGAATACATGAATGGAAAAACTTCACACATCAAACTAAATTATTTTGTAGGAGTTAAATTGCATTCTCCTATTATACTTAGTAAACATTTAAGAGTTACAATTTTCAGAAATACAGTAACCCCACTTAACGTGGGAATCACCAACATCACCAGTATTTAGCTAAATTGAACCGAGTTCTTTTATTCGTAAGCACTGCTTCGAATGTAGATGATGAAGTGAGCATTTGCTATTGAAGTAAAGTGATTTGTACAAGAAAATCTTGAGTTTTTCCTCCAAGCTCAGGTTAAGACTGTTCAAAGAAGTTTAGATGATGGATTTGGACATACACACCATAACCTGTAAACACCTTTTATTCTTTTCTTCGCATCAATTACAGGCTAGCTATTGTTCTATAGTTCTTTAAAACATCATTCCATTGCCTTAATCAGGGAGTGGAGAATTGATGTTGTCATTGTAAGAGAAATGTCACCCTCGTCCCACTTCCATTAGTGGACAAGTTTAAGCAGTGCACAACACAATGGTGACGTGCTGCTGCTCATCCATCTTTCTCCTTTCAGCGTTTTCTTTTGCCGTCTCTCCCTTTCCTTCTCGGTGCAGCATCTAATGGCGACTCCCCATCTTCACCTTGTCCCAAAAAGGAAGCTTGACCCACTGCTGGTACTCTTGTATTGGACTTTCCTGGAAACACCTTCTTCTTTCTCCCCCTTATTCCCCTGTCCATTTTCTGATACATGTTCGGTGGTGGAGATCAACAAACTAACAAAAGAGATCCCAGAACATGTCCTCCTCCAAAAACTACAATATCCCTTCTACTGGCCGATACTATACCGGGGGTCAGAACAATGCGAGTGTGGAGCTCATCAACAAACTTAGGTAGTGGAGAGGACCAATCGATTAACATGTCTAATTGTGCATCATACCACTAATGAGATATCTAACAAAAGAAGCCTGTAAAATGATTACTTTGCTAATTTGAGGTGTCTGATTATAACTAATTTTCAGATGTTTTTCTCACATTTTGTTATCGATTAATTTCGATTCATGTACATAATTAATGAAGCATGGATTAAGCATCACTGCCAAGTCAATCTTCACAATTCTGTCTTCCGAGTTGGTACTCTTGAGAAGCTTTAGATTAGACTTGTAATCTGAAGCAAATGGATTTCTGTTTCACATGTAAGCCTTTTCTTTTCAGTTGATTGCATTAAACATCCGAATAAACTAATTTTCATATGATGATTTTTAGTCATCATGGCCCAAGTAAATCCTCCCTGTTACTCTTGAGAAGCTTTAGATTACACATGCATTCTAAACCTTGTTAAATGCAGTACACCTGAGATGATGGATTAGGGAAAGCCAACTCAAATCAACTTACCATCAATTCAAATGTGACAGGAACATCTACTGACATTGTTATGGTAACACAGGGTTGATAGACAGGAGAAAGGTAAGCAGTCACCATCATGCAAAGTGCATAAGGTCTTTCCCGGGTGAGACACATGTGGCATGCTTTTCGATTTGGTTAATGTGGGATGGCAAAAGCAATGCAGTGACAATTCCCACCCTCCCTTTTTCCCATTTTTCCACCATCACAGAATAAAGTATGGTGGAGCTGTTGTGTAACAGCAGCTACCAACAGGAATCATGGAGGGAGGGTGGGGTTGAAACATATGAAGATTGAGAGCAGAGGATGGGACTGCAGAGAGCATACCAACGGGTAGGCACCTAAATAAGATCACTTGCTAAGGTTGCCTCCCTGAGACCAGTTTCCTTTCGGTTCCCTTTCGAACCCCAAATATACTAGTGAATGCTCCTCTTTAGATTCTTCTTAGCTGGTGCCAATCTCTATCTGGCAGTAGGGTTAGGTAAAGCTATTGCCTTGGAGCATCGAACCTCCCTTCCTGCTGCCTTTTCTCCTGTCCTATGTTTCAATTTGGAAGAAGGAAGTTTAAGTTAGGAGATTGGTAGAGGTAGAGAGAAAGGCGATAAAGATTGGATTTTGATAGCGGGAAGAAGATAAAGGTGCGGTTTTTGTCGTCGTAAATCGCTAAAGGTCCGGGGTTTCGATGGGAGGGAAGTGGAATCTCAACGAGGCAGCCACTGAGGAGGATGAGCAGGAGGAGAAGAAGTGGGGCGTTGCGAGGACCGGCTCCGCGGAGACCGAGAACGATCACTTTGTTTCCTCTGACGTCGTCATCGAGGTCTCCGACGAGGGGCAGCCGGTTCCCGGCGCCACGAAGATCTTTGGATTCTCCATCTCCGGCAGCCGCGACGAGATTCCTTCAGCCGAGCGCGAGACGGACGTCGTGACGCACCAATTCTTTCCCGAGGGTGACGTGGACGGGATGGCGCCGGAGCTGGTGGTGACTGAGAGGGCGACGGAGGAGTCGCAGGCCGCGAAGAAGAGCCGGAGGGGACCGAGGTCGAGGAGCTCCCAATTCCGAGGCGTCACTTTCTACCGGAGGACCGGGCGGTGGGAATCCCACATATGGTTAGCTCCTTCCTCTTCTTCCCTACCTCACAAGCTTAGAAAAGATCCCAACTTTGGCACTGGATTCACAACAATGTGACTCAATTTGGTTTCTCTGTGCAGGGACTGCGGGAAACAAGTTTATCTGGGTAGATATGAAGTGCTTGAAAGACGTCGTTTTGTTTCATGATTGCGGATTGGGAAGGTGTTGACTGATTTGCTGTTTGTTTTTGGTGCCTGCAGGTGGATTCGACACTGCGCATGCAGCAGCAAGGTTTGATCCACACAATTCCACTCCCTTCGTATGGTCTTCTTGCTCGATTCTTCATCTCAGATCGAGAGATGTTGATGCAGGGCGTACGACCGAGCTGCGATCAAGTTTCGTGGACTAGACGCAGATATTAATTTCGATCTGGATGACTACAAGGATGATCTGGAGCAGGTAAGAGATGGACGTCAAGATGGACAATCATGCCATTGTGCTGTCTTCTCCTTCTCTCTCTCCTTAGCAGAAGCAAATCTCTTGTTGGTGGCAGATGAGCAACCTTACCAAGGAGGAGTTCGTTCATGTGCTCCGACGTGAGAGCACCAGCTATCCCAGAGGAAGCTCCAAATACAGGGGAGTGACCTTGCACAAGTGTGGAAAGTGGGAGGCCAGAATGGGCCAGTTTCTGGGTAAAAAGTAATGCTTCTGCTCTTCCTCCTCATTCTGCTGCTCTTCTTTCTCCTCTGAAAGATAATTTCTTCTCTGCCTGTCCTCACAGATACGTTTATTTGGGTCTCTTCGATACGGAAGTCGAAGCTGCTAGGTATGCCGAAACCCTCAGCATCTCATTCTCTGCCTGTTGAGTAGAGCATGAAGCGTTCTAAGATGCTTCTTTGAGCTTTCAGAGCTTATGACAAGGCTTCGATCAAATGCAATGGAAAGGACGCAGTGACAAACTTCGATCCCAGCATATACAAGGAGGAGCTCGGCACATCCAGTGAGTTCAATTTGCTTGTTTGCATCGATCATCTTCTTGCAGAGTCACTGCAGCTCTAATTTTATGAACAACACCATTCTGTCAGCCGGCCAGCATGAACACAATCTTGACCTTAGTCTTGAACCAACCGGAACGAATTGTCGGGCTCCAATGGCCTTCGTATCGGAGTGGAATCATGATGCCAGATCCAAGGTATCACTCTCAACCCACACGATCATGCTGCTTGCTTGGCAGTGAGTAATTCTGGAACTCTGTTCATGCTAGTTTGAGGACAAGCTCGAGCTGCCTAAAGGAACAGATTCTACAATTAGCTTTCCATGTAGCAATGGCTATACCCAGTCCCAGCCCAAGGTCTTGCCACAACCATCCACACTGTCCCAGATCATTCCAGGGCAATCCAATTCATCTAATTGTAGTCAAGTAAGCTTCCTGTATTAGAACTATAATGTTGTTTGCTGCTCAAAGCGCTCATTGGCTTGTTGATACAGTATCCAAGCAGCAGCAATGGCTCAAGGCCTGGAGGAGGATCTCTCTACTATAACTTCATGGCAAGCAACAATGGAGGCATTTGGGTTGGTGAACAAGCAGGAAGAAATCCTTATCGAAGAAGAATGTTTGTGCAGCATCATCAGGATTCCCACCATAAGTAGCAGCAGCAGCAGCAACAGAAGAAGAATGGCTTCCAATCCCCCCCCCCAACACACCATAAGGGCCCTGCTGCCAAAAGGACCACTTTTGACTTTGTCTTGTTTTGTTTTCAGTAGCAATTGTGCCAGCAACTTCCAACTCCACAAAAATCCTTTGTAGATAGAGCATAGAGGGGCGGAGGCAATTGAAGACACTCACTCTTTCTTTTCAGAAGAACTTCATACTTCTGCTTGATTCATGTGCTGTCTCTTGTTTCTCTGTAGCAAAGTTTTGCTGTAAATGTTAAAGAGTTGAGAAATGGAAGATGAGAAGAGGGGAAGGGTCAGTGCTTGTGATGTGCGAGAATTTTATGTAACAAAGGGGCAAACTGATGTGGAATGGATTCAAGACATTGCTTATGTTAATACTCATCCAATAAATTCAGATCAACTACTAATGACTATGCCTCAGTGAGTTTGAAAAAAATATTTGCCTTCTTTTTAAATTCAGCGATTGTTTCAATTTTTATTTTTCTACGTTTAAATTTAGATGGATAAATACAAATTTTATTAATTTAAAGAAAATCATTATAAGTGCTTACTATTTGTTATTCTCAAATTTACATTGGAGCCCTTCTTTACCATTGGTTGGCAAACTAAACTTAATTCCCTCTATTTATTTATGTGAGGATCAATTACGATACTAAAAAAAATCATCAGTACTTTTGAACTTTTCAGAATTTTCATCACGGATGGTGAATGATTGACTTTTTCAATCTGAAATAGGATCATGTGATTTAATTTGTTCTCAATAGTCATGCGGTAATCATCTTAGGGTGATCAACGGATGCTTCTATAACAAAGCTCATTAGATTTAATATTATTTATATGTTAAACTTAAATTTAGAGGAGATAAATACAAAAAATATAATTTTTAGCAAATATATATATATATATATATATATTCATCATTTTGGATTTTTTCAAACAGTGTTCCTAGTTCAAAAGAATTATCTAAAATACCTCTTACCAATTCTTTGGCCAAAATTTTATGTTAGTTTTTTCACTAGTTTCGAAATGTTATAATGTTTTCATTTCGCTCATTTACAATACTTTTAATAGCATTTGTAATATTTTTATTGAGGTATTAAATATATTGTAAAGCTATTGAAAAATACTATAATAGAAATATTAATTTTTTTATTGTCATTACTCGTAGACAGTTACAATATCATATTTTTATGATTGCAATTGATTTGGTTGAGGTTAAAAGTACATTTAGATCATTTATAAAGTTTATAAGTAAGTTTATAGTGTTTTTGATAGTCAAAACACTATACCATACTTTCAAATAATTTTTTTTCAAACAATACCCCTAATTTAAAAAAAATGCACAAAATACCCCACACCAACTCATTCGATTAATTTTTTTGCACATTTTTCACCAATTCTGACTATTATAATATTTTTTAATAGTGTTTATAATATTTTTATCGAGGTACAGAAAAAAAATGTAAATGATATCATATTATGTTTCTATAGTTGTCATTGCTCATAAATTATTACGATATCATATTTTTAGGTTTGTAGTTGATTTGGTTGAGGTTAGGAGTCAATTTGGGTCATTTACAATATTTTCAAATAGATTATAAAAGTGTTTTAATTGTAGTGACCAAAATACAATAAAAAGTCAAAATTTAAAAATGTATTATGATGATGTCATTATTAAACTATTATAAATACATATTTGAACTTTAGTATATTTTAATTTCATTTGACTTATTTATAATTTTTCAAATAGACTTAATAGTATTGTTATTGTGAGACCAAAATATTATAAAATGCCAAAAACATTGTTAAAGACCAAAACACACTAATGGTTGAAAAAAATTTTTGAAGCATGATTTAAATATTTTTTAATTAGCAACACTATTTGTGAAAAACCAAAATGGGAGTGTTATTTGGGAAAAAACGCAGTTTTT